TTTTTGCTTTACGCCTAATTTTTGACGACAATTAGCAAAAAATGTTAAATGTTAACACTCAGTCCATTTGAATATGAAAAATAAAATTGACTTTGATTAAATGTTTTTATTTATCATGCAATTCTTCTTGCGACCAAAGATTTGAATAAAAGTTCAAAAAATAAGATAGCTTAAAAAATAATATACGGTAGTGTTTACTAATAGATGAATAGTATATAATTCTATTAAAATGGATTTGATCCAAAAAAAATATATAAAATTTGATCATAAATAAAATCGTTTTAAATTACTTCTTCATTTAAATTATAACAATTATTTTGGTTTTATTTTTTTTGGATCAAATCCATTTAATAGAAATTTATATACTATTCATCTATTAGTAAACACTACCGTATATTATTTTTTAAGCTATCTTATTTTTTGAACTTTTATTCAAATCTTTGGTCGCAAGAAGAATTGCATGATAAATAAAAACATTTAATCAAAGTCAATTTTATTTTTCATATTCAAATGGACTGAGTGTTAACATTTAACATTTTTTGCTAATTGTCGTCAAAAATTAGGCGTAAAGCAAAAATTGATATTTCATATGGTTTTATGATAGATAAGCATTATATTCCCACTCATTATATTCGTAAATTTTGAGGTTTATCCTTCGCTTTTAAGATCATTGAATTTGATTTTTATATAAAATAGTTATATATTAGAAAATAATATGAGTTTATGTGATATTATTTTTCAGAAGATTTTGTGTTCTTCTTCAAAATTTTATTTTTTATTAAAAAGAATCTTTACAAAATATACATTTACTTTAATTAATATTTAAAAACGTGCTCTATCAAAAGTTCCAAAAATTCAATATTTTAGCTTTTCTGAGGTGTCACTTTTGATGAATTTCTGTTTACAACACTTGCTTCTTTGTTTCATCATTATACCTCAAAACATTAAAGTTCTTCAATAATATTGTTCTTCCTGCTGGAATACTTCGAACCTGTCTGATTTCAATAGCTTTCTCACCTCCTACATACTCTACCCAGTGTCTTGGATATTCATAAGTATACTGACTTTCTTGAATTTTGGTAGGTTTCATCATAACGTGTTCATAGTATATCTTTATACTCTTGTCAGTTAGACTCGGTGCTATGTTCTGAATATTTCTGACTTGCATTTTTAATGGAAACAATAAGAATTACCGAAAAAGTGACAAAACATCAAAAACAGGGAGGGGGTCTCAATTTTTATTACTTATATTATTTTACAATATTTATATAAATACTCTTTATAATATATTTTACTATAAAATTATACCTCAAATTCAAATATTTAAAATATTATTTACATAATTATCTCAAAATTATATTTTTTTTTAAAAAAAAGGTAGTGGGGCTTCCAGGCGCGTTGCGCCCTCTAGCCCTGAAGATGTTTAGTATAAATGAAGTTTATATTCGGAGGGCTTCCAGGCGCGTTGCGCCCTCTAGCCCATAAGAAATTTTGCCCAAGACCCAAGAGGAGGACCGAACCCCAGCCGACCAGCCGGTGATACTTTTTGTGTCGCTTTTCACAAATTATATATGTTTTCATGTTTTGTCACTTTTCTATCACTTTTCAGGTAAAAACATTTTTATTATTATATATAAATGAATTTTACAAAACCACCGTTACCGTTCTTTGGAAATAAGAGTAGATGTAAAGATATTATATTGAGACAACTTAGAAACTACCGAATGGTCTACATTTGTAGATTTGTTCGGTGGAAGTTTCTATATATCCCATTTATGTCATACCGTAGTTTCCTGACTCAAAGATTATATGCAATGACTTCGACAACTATATGGACCGTCTCAAACATATTCCAGACACAAACAATATATTGAAAGAGTTAAAAGAAAAGATACCTATAGGTAAGATGGAACGTATACCATTAGATAAGAAAAATATTGTGAGAGAGGTTTTGAAAAAAAGCAGAATATATAGACTGAATAGTATATCTGCTAGACTATTATATAGTGGTGCTATAAGAGTTCATGACATTGAAACACTTATGTCAAAAGTTTTATATCTCAACTATACAAATGTTTTCAAAGAGGACATAGAAAAATATATTGAGGGTATAGAGTTTGTGAGATGTCATTGGACAGAGTTGTATGAAAAATATAAAGACAAGGAAAATGTTTTCTTTATAGTGGACCGCCGTTCTATAACACATGGGATTTTCAATACCAAGTAGACTGGACTTTGAGAGACTCTTTAGAAACTTTAGACGTTATACATAACCATCCATGCTTTTACTTTACATCCGATAAAAGGTGGTTTGGAAACCGTTATGAGATGGTTAGAGGACATACATGACTATGAGTTTATATATGACAAGATAGAATATGAGAGAGGTCCTATAAACCGGAGAAAGTGTCACAATAAAGAAATTTTATTAGTAAGTAAATGTGGTTTGAAATAGGACTACTTGTTTTAGGTTTTTTCCATTGTGTCATTTATTTATTTGACGTGGCAGAAAGTACAGAGAATATGAAGATGAACCAATGCCTGCAAATGTTCAGTATATGTACTCGTAAGAGATATTTTTATCTAATATTAAATGGAACGCACAGAACTTAGCGAATGCACAGCAACCTGGACAACCAAACCCAGAGAGATATTCCAAATGAAGTTAGAATACAAACTGCAATGGCAAACTATGGTCAAGTGCCAACAGATGTACAAATGCAAACTGCCATGTCAAATGACGCTGCGTTAGGTTTGCCACCATGGTATGCAAATATGAGATGGAAAGAGTTTTATACAAACCCTGAAGTGGGATATAAACAACTTTTGCAGATGACGCGAACACAGGAGTTTGACCAGAATATGTTTTCTACCAGAGGAGAAACAGAATGTATGAGCTCCAGTTAAAGAATGCTATGGAACTCAAGGAAACGTAAGAGACTAGGCGGACATTAGATTTTTACTACTAGTAAAATGGGTTTCTTCAGTAGTATTGGAAACTTCTTCAGAAGAGTTGGAAGAGGTATATGGAATGGCGTCAAAACCGTAGGAAGAGGAGTATGAACGGTGTCAAAAATATTGGTAAAAGAGTTAGGTCAGTTCGTTGGTATTATACCTAAAGACCCTGAACCAGAAGAACAAGCTCCTGTTATACAACAGCCTGAACCTGCACCACAGTCTAGTTGGCAACCAAATCCAACACCTCAACTGTTTAAAAAATTATATTTTTACCGTTCAGATAGTAGTTTATATGAAACTAAGTTCTAAGTAAAACGCATGGTATAATGGAATTCTTCTTTTTCTTCATCTGTAGTAAACCATACTTGAAAGTCTGAAATACTTCCACTTGGTGGTTCGTTATAACTTTGTAGGTTTTCGTAAAAGTCATTTGCCAAGCATAAAAGAGTTTTGGGCGCCAGAAAATGAGCATGAACAATAATAGCATCTTGGTCGAAAATATTTTCATATGTTCCATTAGGGTTTTCGACTTCATAATAGTCCGGGTGTACTGGATATCTGCAGGCTGATTTCATCCTCATAATCTATACATGCCAAGTTGTTATATTTTGTAGAAATATAAACGTTTTCTCAAGGTCTTCTATTTTTATTGATTTTAACAGTTGCATTTCCTGTCATAAATAATATCGAGATGGTATTCTCCTTCGTCAATGTTATACTTGGTTTGCATATTCGATATAGATATCGTTTATTTTTTCTTGAAAAGCTTGAAGAGTTGTTTCTAAGTTACAAGCAAACTAACTTGTAAAAGTTTTCCCTGTTCAAATTTCTCATACATACGTTTTTCTTTGTTATAGTATCGAACTTCAAAACCGACCGTAAATGGGAAACCATGTATGGCTTCTGAAATGAACTTCATTCTACGAAAGCCAATAGCTTTTGTGACGGATGGGTCTCTTAACCATCTTAATGGTAGTCAAAACGATAGCCTTCATGCTTTACGGTATCTGTCTCAAACTTTTGACCGACATTAGTAAAAAGTTCATCTAATGGTTTAGTTGTAGCAACTCTAGAATTTTCTTTTCTATTGGAAGCATATTTTATCTATAATAAAATGTCAAATGAAACAGCGTCTATGAGAGAAATACAACACACCGACAACTCATTATGCAAGCTCTAAAAACACACCAAACTTTTCAAACTATTCTAAGATATCTGAGTCATTGAAAGGGGTGACTTAAAACTGACAATAAACCCAATGACAGATGAGTTTCTGATTCAAGACAATAAGAACAATACTGTCTGTATAAATCCAACAAAAGAAACTTTAAACGAGAAACCTATAAAAAACTTCTTTTTGAAAGCAGATGTTGACAACAAAGCTGACAAAGAATATGTAGACGATGCAATAGCAAAAGAAGAAGAAAGAGCTAACAATGCTTATGCAAAAAAAGAACATACTCATCCTGAACTAGCAGACAAAACATATGTTGACAATAAAATGTCAAGTGAAGTGACAAGAGCTGAAAACGAATATTCTAAAAAGACTCATATACATTATGTTAACCAAATACCAAGTCTTAAGGAAACATTAGAGACAAAAGCAGATAAGACTCATACACATACCATTGCAAATATTACAAACTTACAACTAACTTTAAACAGGAAAAGTGACGTTGGACATACACATACCATTGCAAATATTACAAACTTACAAGAAACCTTAAACAGGAAAAGTGACGTTGGACATACACATACCATTGCAAATATTACAAACTTACAAGAAACCTTAAACAGTAAAAGTGACGTTGGACATACACATTCTATATCTGATATTACAAACTTAAACGTTAGCCTTGAAAATAAAGCAGATAAAACATATGTCAATGAAATATACCAAAGTTTGATAGGAACAAAAAAATATTGAAACTATTGTTGGTGACTTTTCTGTCAATGAAGAAAATAAATATTTTAGATGGCAGTTTGTACAGTCCTTAAAAAATGGTACACGGGGTAAACTTATTCCGAAAAATAACAATGGAATGTATGTAAGCTATAAAAAGAATGATGGTACACAAGTTAAAGTTCCATTAGACAACAACTGCTACTTAAACTTATATGGAGACGAACAAAAGAAATATTTAAGAGTTTATGAAATGGCAGATATGACATTGCCTGACCCAGCTCCAGCACCATATTATTATGACTATGGAGATGACGACAGAACACCACATGTAGATGAACAAAAGCTAACATTATATTTAGATTATTATAGATATAAAAGATATAATGCAATAGAAAAAACGAGAATAGTATATTATTATACAGATGACAGAAATAAATATTATAGTCAAGATTTTACCTACCCTGAAAACATAAGATTATATTATAAAAAATATTCTGACACAAACCAGAAGAAACCTGAAATAGCTGCACTATATTTTAAGTTCAAAAAAGACAATCCTATAATATCTCATATGTTTGATTTAATGAACCCAGTAGGTTCTATTTATATATCTATGGAAGCAAGAGGTCCTCAAGTAATGTTTGGTGCATGGGAACAAATAGTCGACAGGTTTTTGTATTGTGCAAACTCTTCAAAGGAAACAGGTGGAAGTAAAACGATTTCAGGTGAAAATTTACCTGCACACAGTCACTACATAGATTTAAGTACATCTCAAGCAGGTTGGCATAAGCATAGATATTGGGATTGGTCAGGAATGACAAAAGGTAAAGGATATGATGTTAAAGACGACGTTAAGTTTGCTATAAATTGTTACTGGAGTGACACTCAGGGAGAAGGAAACCATACACATTTCGTTTCAGGATATACACAAACAACGGGACAAAGTAAAGAATACATGCCACCTTACATGACAGTTTACGCATGGTATAGAATTGGTTAGTCGTCATTTTCAACTTCTTTAGCATATTCGTCAGGAGTTGTCTTATATTTGTTAGGAACTGTCTTTGAAAGTATACCACCTTGAACTTTGACAAGTTTGAAACGAGGTCTGGCGATAGTAGTTTTATCTTCTGCTTGCAGTGTGTACATTTTGCCATGTTTGCCTAAAACTTCATAATATTCTCTTGTATACTTTCTTCTATTTTTACGAACACGAATGTGAGTACCTGTCGGGTTCCCATTGTTGTCATAGTCAATAGTATTTTCATATGGGTCGCGTTTAGGTATTTCTATTTTTACTTTGTCACCTTTCTGAAGTTTGAAGCCCGGCATTCTTTCTTGTTTGTCTCTTTTGACTAATTTATTAAATATATAGTCTTTCTCTAAGTCAGGGTTGTTTTTCATTTCTTCGGGGGAGTGGTTTCCCAAACCTTTTGTTTACGGTTATTGTAAATATTTAAAACTTGTCTCATCTTTGCCATGGAGAAGTGTCTATACTTGTCGTCATATGACATTTCATTTGCTTCACCACCTTGTGGTTGGTTTAAGTCTCTTAACATTTTTATACATCCGTCAATGACACCAAGAGCAGAATGGTTTTGGTCGACAATGAAATATTGGTTTACATTTTTTGAACGCAGATAGTTTTTTACATCATCTGATTTGAAAGAACTTTCACAGTCAGATGTCAGTTTTGTTGGATGGTATTTGTCAACGAATATTGTCAAAGCAGTTTTCACATCTAAAATATTTTTGGACCATAATGGTATGGCTTCACAGTATCTTGTGTTTTGACCAACAAATATTAACCAGTATGGAGGTCCATCTGTTCTAACTCTCGGAATGTTTTCCAAGATATCCATAAACCAAGCATTTGGTGTTGAACTAAAGATTTTTATCATGAGTGCTTTCTTTGTCGCTTTAGAAACATAGGGGTCCTTGTTTGGATTCGTCATTTGTAATGCATGAAAAATAGCGTGACTTCATTTTTGACAGTTTACAAATGTAAAGTGTTGCATCCTTAAAAACTTGGAAATATATACATTCATGAATTATCTTGTATATTAATTGAAAATCCATAAAACCCTAACAATATTTTTTCTTAAAAAAAACTATAAAAATATAAATAAAATTAATTGTTAAATAAAAATATTTGATATTAGAATTTTATTGGAAAAATAAAAAACTTAATATTTTAAAGAAATCCTTAAATACTTGAATGTTTTAACTTTTACATTATCATATAGACTCTCAAATTATTGATTGGAAACGGTTTGAGGGTTATCAATTTAAAAAAAATTGTGAGTTTTTTAGATTTTTGGCAATGAGTTTTAAAAATTTGTGAGTGAGAATGTGTGTTGATGCTTGGCACTTTGAAGGGAAGATGTTCTGGGTTCACAATTATTAATGGGATAAATAAAATGATTATAAATATAATATATTAGAAAATAATTTGCAAAATCTCTCCATTTTTATAAATTTAATAATAGAAGTTGATCTATATAGAAAGAGTGTTTTATCTATTAAGTTTTTGGCTTTTGCCTTCAAATCATTAATATAATTTTTTCAAAAAAATTGTTTTATTTAAAATAAACAAATTTTATCAAATAACTAGTATTTTTAAATTATCTTTTGAAAAATTGAAAAATTTACAAATTAAAAAATGGAAGACATTTTGGTTTGTCTCGAAAACCCAGAAGATCTTAAAACTTTTCAACTCCCAACCGTTCCCGCCGATCAGGTTCTCAACGTAATTGAAGAAAAATATCAAGAATACATTAATAATCCAAATGTAACTCTCGAAGATACGGCAAAAACACTTTCAATAGGAAAAGAACGTTTGAAAAAAATTTTCGTACTACTCGGCTATCCAATAAAAGAAAGAGGAAGACCAAAGAAAAAAATTTTTGAGGAAGATGTATACAAAATTTTGGAAATTAAAGCACAATATGACATTGGATACAAAAGGATCAAAGAATCATATTTCGAAAAAGTCGAAAGATTTACATTCAACGATGCTTTCAAAATTTTCAATCAACAACATTTGTTTACATTTCACAGGCATCAGAAAATCGACGAACATCCACATGAATACGTTGCTCAATATGTTAATCAATTGTGGCATACTGATTTGAAATTTCTGAAGGACGATAACGGTAACCTTCAATATTTAATTTCATTTCTTGATGACAGAAGCAGATACATTATTTGCTGGGATGTTTTCGATACAAAAGAAATGAAAAATACTGCCAGAGTATTTCGTCACGCAATTGATTTAGTCAAATTAGTTCCACATGGAATTCTCACAGATAATGGAACAGAATTCATTGGAAAAGATTTTGAAGCGGTTTGCCAAGAATTCAATATAAAACATTTCAAAACTCATCCGTACTCTCCAGAGGAAAATGGAAAAATTGAAAGGAGTTGGGAGACTCTTTTCAAGACAAACCCTGGAGTGAACGTCTTTGAGTTCATCCCCAATGTTGTTTCCCAGTATAATAGGGTATGGAAACACTCCGCATTATTCAAACTCTTTGGGGAGAAATTGACTCCATTTGAGGCCTGGGAAAGAGGCCCCAAATGGACAAAAGATCTCTGCGCTGAACCAGGCTTCGAAAAAAATCTTAGAGATTAACAAATAATTTCAAAAACAAGAAAATTCAAAAAATCACAAAAAGGAAGTTAAGGAATAAACACTTACATTTATTACATTTGGATTTTTTTTAATTATTTTTAGAAATAAGATAATATAGTTCTAAAATAAAAAAAGAATGTTAAGAATGAAGAAGGAATTAGCGGATGCAGCCGAAGCACGCTCACAAATTACTCTCAATATCCACTCAAATCATACAAAGTTTTGTCGAATAGTTTGATATAAAGACAAAAAATTTACAATTTTTAATTAAATCCGAACAATCTTACATATGCAGCGAAGCACACTCACAAATTACTCTCAATATCCACTCAAATCATACAAAGTTTTGTCGAATAGTTTGATATAAAGACAAAAAATTTACAATTTTTAATTAAATCCGAACAATCTTACATATGCAGCCGAAGCACACTCACAAATTACTCTCAATATCCACTCAAATCATACAAAGTTTTGTCGAATAGTTTGATATAAAGACAAAAAATTTACAATTTTTAATTAAATCCGAACAATCTTACATATGCAGCCGAAGCACACTCACAAATTACTCTCAATATCCACTCAAATCATACAAAGTTTTGTCGAATAGTTTGATATAAAGACAAAAAATTTACAATTTTTAATTAAATCCGAACAATCTTACATATGCAGCCGAAGCACACTCACAAATTACTCTCAATATCCACTCAAATCATACAAAGTTTTATATTTTCATTTTATTGTTTCTTAATAAAGAATTTACTTTAATATTCTTAATTGTTTTCTTTTTTATATTTAATTTTTGATATCTATTTTAAAAAACTTAGACAAATTCGAGTCAGCTAATAATTTAATTGAAAAAATAAAAAGAAAACATATAATTTTTAATCCGTCTATTTGAATAAGGGTTTCGTTTTGCGAAAAAAACGTACAATACGCAATTTCGCTAAAAAAACATTTAGCTAGCAATTTCGACCTTTGACTCCACTCAAGACGTCACTTTTTTAATTTTGCGGTATCATATTTTTGGAAAATCTTTATGAATATTATATAAAAAGTCTCTTTAATATCTATATTTCATATTTTTATCGATTTTTAAAGTTTTTGCGAAAAGTATTCAATTATTTTTGCTATTTGGTCGGGTAAATGTCAGATTTGCGACATTTTCTGATATGATATTCAGATTCTACGTTGATAATAATGCTTATAGAACCCTCTTGCTATTGTGTCAAAATTGCGAAACCGATAGCAAAAATATCTCGCAATATCAAAATTGAGATATTGAGTGAATTATGCATTATAGAGATTAAAAATCTGATTTGTGAAAACATCTCATCAGTTTCTAGCTAATTCAAAAATCTTTACTATCTTATTCGATTAAAATGAAAAGGGAATAGTTTCATTATGCTTTAAATGACAGCCTTATAATATAATCATAGTTTTCGCTCAATATGCAGCATTTTTTTTTCGAAATCTATGGTCAATATCCTAAATACTGATTGCTTTGCATTCATATCTCTTACATTTTCTATACCCACATCACTATTCATTGCTATTCCTATCTTTTTCATTTTTGTTTGTTTCTCATAATTTCTCAAAAAACATGATAACTTGATATTTGTAAATATCATACTTTATAACGTAAATAAGAACTTGACCTATTAAGAAAAGCAGTAATGAAAAGAAAATCTGAAATTCATAAAAATTACAAGTTTCTGATGACAATTAGCTTAATTAAACCAGGTACAAGATTATATAATTGTATTTTCTATTCAATTATCCATATAATATCTTATCCAGAAAAAATAACTTGATCAATACCAAATGATTTTTTAACTAGTAAATAAAGTATTTTCTTTACACACACATTGTATATCATAGTTTTTTTTTGGTTTCGCAAAACATCCAAAAACAAATATGCTATAAAAGTGACAATTTTAGCAAAACGAAACCCTTAAATTGAATAAGCAATATTATAAATATTATGTTAAACGGTTAATTTTTTCTCAAAAAAAATTATTTCGAATTTCCGAAATTTTTGACATTTTGGCTGAGAACTATGGTCTGCGAGGTACATAGATAGAATCAGTACCTCGCAGACTATAGCTCTCTATATGGCGCCGAAAATTTTTTGGTGAAATGTCGTCGCATTTCACCAAAAAATTTTTCGCGCGCCATAGGAAGAATTGGAGGGTGTGAGATACTATTACATGCTATAGTACTCACACCCTCCAACTCCCAATCAAAATCGCATAAAATTTGCTACTTATCTTCAGATTACCTCCCATTATAAAATATATCATTTCTATCTCATCGTACTATATTTCCACCCTATTGTATTTAAAAATATAAAATTTTTTGATAATATA